TTTTGTGTTTCTGATTGTGTTCATTTGGGTTTTTTCTCCCTTTTTCTTGGTCACTCTAACTAGGGGACCATCAATCTTGTTCATCTTTTCAAAGAACCAGCTTTTTGTTTCACTCATTTTTTTTTTTTTTTTTTGTATTATCTATTTGTTTTCTATGTCCTGGATTTGGGCTTTTATGTTGGTGATCTGAATTCTTCTGTTGAAGTTAGGGTTTTGATGGTCTTGTTTTTCCAGCTTTCTTCATGTGCATTTGTAGAAATATGAATTCCCCTCTTATTACAGCTTTCAGGGCATCCCAGAGATTTTGGTAAGATATTTCTTAATTTACATTTGTGTCCAGGTATTTTTTGATCTCTGTTTTGAGGTCCATGTAGACCCAGGAGTTGCTTATCATCATGCTGTTTAATGTCCATGTCTTTGTGGGTTATGGGGGAAATTTGTTGGTATTGATATTTATTTTTACTCCACTGTGGTCTGAGAAGGAGCATGGCAAAATTTCAATCTTATGATATTTGTTTATGCTTGATTTATGGCCAAGGAAGTGGTTGATCTTAGAGTACGTACCATGCAGTAATGAGTAAAATGTATATTCTGTGGTCGTTGGAAGGAGTATTCTATAGGTATCAGTTAAATCCATTTGGTCAAGAGTCACATTGAGGTTCCGGTTCTCCCTGCTGATTTTTTGTCCTGATGATCTGCTTAGGGATGTGAGTGGGGTATTAAAGTCCCCAGCTATGATAGTGTTAGAGTTAATATCTTTTTTAAGTTTGCCTTGAAGCTGCTTTATGGTCTATGTTGCATGCATATATGTTTCGGATGAATAGTTCTTGTTGATGGATCTAACTTTTTATCATTATGTAGTGACCTTCTGTATCTTTTTCACTTTTTGATAGCTTAAAGGGTATTCTGTCTGAAATTAAGATTGCAACTCCTGTTTTCTTTTGAGTTTCACTCACCTGAAATTTTGCTTCCCATTCTCTTACTTTGATTCTGTGAGTGTCCTTTCTGGTGAGATGAGTCTCTTGGAGACATATATTGTTGCCTCATGATATTTTAACAATTTTGCTTTTCTATGTCTTTTCAGTGGTGCATTTAGTTCATTCACATCCAGGCTAATTATTGAAATGTGAGGGTTTATCCCTGTCATGAGTTTCTTATAGAGTTATGTTGTTCCTGTTTGTTTATTGTCTTTCTTTTGATTTTTGGGTTGACTCATGTATGTTTTCAATCCTTTTCCTATACTCTTATGAAGAATGTTGTCATTCTTTTTTCCTTTTCTTCTGTGTTTAATACTTTCTTAAGTGTTTCTTATAGAGGTAGTCTAGAGGCAGCATGGGATTGGATGTCTGGGAAAGATTTTCATTCTTCCTCACTAATGAAGCTTAGTTTAACTGGGTAGGTTATTCTTTGTTCAAATTGTTTATCTTTGAGAACTTTGAAGATTGGGCTCCATAGTCTCCTAGTCTGAAGTGTTTCTCTAGATAAATCTGCTGCTATTCTAATTGGTCTTCCCGGAAGGTAGTCTGAACTTTTTCTCTTGCTGCCTTTAGGATTTTTTCTTTATACCTACTTTGTTTAGGTGAATTATTATGTGTCTGGGAGTTGGTCTTCTCTTTTGTTGTCTTGCAGGGATTCTCTGAATCTCTTGTGTTTGAATTTTCACATCACTGATGAGATAAGGGAAGTTTTCTTGAATAATTTCATGGAATGTTTGATCCAGGGTGATCTCTGTCTCTCTTTCTGCCTCAGGAAGTCCAACTACTCTTAGGTTCAGCCTCTTGAAATAATTGCTCTTCTCTTAAAGGTTTCATTCTGTCTTTTTAAGCTTCTTTTCTATGTTTTTGACAATTTGGGTTAGATCTATATTTTGATCCTAAAGCTCTGAGATTCTTTCTTCTGTTTGGCTTAATCTGCTTTCCATGCTTATTCATTTATTATTTATTTCAATCACAGTATTCTTTAATGCTGTTACCTCATTTATCAACTCCTTCCTATTGTCCTCTTGTCTCTCCTCAATTCTTTTGTTTCTCTTTATTAATGTCTTGATGTCTGGGTTTGTAGTATGTGACCAGTCATTCTGGGGGCTCTTCATTGTTTATGTTTTGACTCTGTTTTCTCAGTGTCTGACCTCCCAGGAGTCTGTGTGAGACTTATTTTCTTCTTTTGGTTTTTCTTCATTTGTATAGATTTTCCACCCTACTTTTTCCTTTTCTTCCACCTTCTTCTTTAATTCTATTGTTCAGGATGGTAGGGTTGCCTTTACTTCAGTTTGCTCAACCTCCTATTCTTTCTTATGTGAATCCTTCAGCTTTGTTCAATTATGAAGCTGGACTGTGGGTTGGGAGTTATACTTTTTTGCAGTTCTGAGATTTAATTGAGGTGGGAGTTGTTATTCAAAATCTGTCTGCAAATCCTTGTATCCACCAAAAAGTATACGGGTTCCCTGGAACCCACTTCCCACTTCCTTGCATTCTATCCATGCAGTAGGGGTATTTCTTTGCTCCCTGAAAACAAAATTAGGTAAGAAAAAGGAAAACAGTGGAACAGGAAAGGAGAGGGGAAAGAGGAAGGTGGAGAGAGAGAGAAGTAAAGGGGAAAACAGACAAACATTCCAACTAACAAATGAAAAGAGCCACAAAGACAGAAAAGGGTAAAAAAACCAAAAACATACAATCTTACAAACACACAAGCCAACCAACCTCCCTATTGATGTACTATTCCCCTACACAAACAGGAAATCAAAGAAAAAGATATCAGTAAAATTACAGAAACAAAGTAAGTATGGAAATGTTATAAATAACCATAAGAAGAGAGAGAAAAGAGGAAATAAAAATGAATAAAACAAAGAATAATAATTAAAAAAATAAAAACAAGGAACCAGGTTCACTCTGAGATTGCTCCTGTAAATCCAACATCCTTTCAACTCTGATATAACCCTCATTGCAGGCTGGTAGGGTTGCTCACCATTAGGGTCAGATGCCTCAGGCCTGCTGTAGAAGGAGGGTGCAGCAGATCTGGACTCAGCTGGCTTGCTGTCAAGTCTGTCACTCAGATGTGGCCTGTCTGTGACTAGTTTAGCATGAGGGAGGGGTTTCTGTCTCTCCCAGTTTGGTGCAATTACCTTAGATCCCATGTTGGAGGCTGAATGGAGCTGGGTGGAGCTGGGTGGAACTGGGCAGAGCTGGGTGGAGCTGGGCAGAGCTGGCTGGGGCAATGCAGGTTTCTGCCTGGTCTCGGGGCTCCAGCTGATCCCCAGTTCTGCTGCAGCCAGGGCCGAGCCAGGAGAGGCTAAGTACAAGACAGCCAGGCACTGCAGGTCAGGTGGTGTGGGGTGGCATGGGGCTGCTTGGGGTGGGGCAGGGCAGTGCAACCTGCAAAGGAGCCCAGAGCTCCATGGGGCTGGAAGCCAGGGCTTTCCCGAATGGGGCAGTGGCAGTGGCAGTGTACACAGCAGCAGAGCAGTGCGTGGGACTGAGGGCCTCCAACCTGTGGACCAGTGCGATTGGAGGCAGCAGCGGCAGCGGCTGAGCAGTGTGTGGGACCAGGGCTTCCATCCCACAGGTTTGTGTGGCTGGCCAAGGGGTAGGCTGGCAGTAGTGGCAGCAGCAGCAGCCACCCAGAGTAAAGCAAGAGTCTTTATGGACACTTGCTTTCACAGAGACTCTCACAGTTCAACCTGTCCCATCGTCATCTTGCCAGAAATCGTGTTCAACTTTCATAGTTCTGCAAATAACAGGAAATTAAGAATACTTAGTAATGTCTAACAAATAACTTTCCAATATATTTAAACAAATTAAGGATACCAATCTCTTCTCACAGTCATTTTAGTATCGTTTTAGCCTAAATAACTTTTTAAACTATCAATATAGATTTTTTAGTATTGAACATAAGAAGCAGCTAAATTATTATCTACCTTGTGAAAAGTATTAAATGTACTGGTAAACGTGGTTGTACCCTGGACACAAAGTAAGAATTCAGTAAATAATCAGTGACTTACTTTGTTACACGTGGCTTGAGAGGAACACACAGCCAAATGTTACAAAACAGATTTTCTTAAAAAGTACATGTCAGTCTATTTGATTCTGAATCTCAATGCTATTTAACATACTTCTTAAAGTCAACTTGCAGCAAATAATTTTATTTTTGAAAGAAATCTTTTGCAATTACCAAATATCATAAAATGTTAAAATATATGACACCATATCTATCTTTGATCTACATGTGAAAAGATTTAGATATATCAATTTAAATATAGCTGGGGGCACAAGTTATGTAACACTATGCAACTGTGTGCCTTAACACATATGTAGGTTATCGATATCTTGTAAATATGATTTTTACAAAGTTAAAGCAGTTATCTGGGAAAGAATAGCCACAATTTAACCTATATACATACTGGCACATGCTTGCTAAGAAAGTTTATGAGCTTTGTGGCCCGTCCTTGGAATTCTTGGAGTTGCCTGGTCAGCCATACTTGCTATAGAAACTATTTTCCCTTACTAGACCATGACTTAGTAGACCCATTAGCAGTAATCCTGCAAATGACCCTAGAGACCCTCCAGGCTCAAAAACCTTGGAATGCATCGTGAATTTCCACTCTTTAGTTTTCCTTCCCATGACATTATCATTGACCTCTAGATTGCGTTAACTAGTCTTTGCTTTGCTCAACTGTTAATATGTAGGGAAACTTGCCAATGACACTCGCTTCATGCTAGCAGAAAAAGCTGCCTTTCTCAAGAATACTGGAAGAGAATCTAAAAATGTGTGTTTATGTGTGTATACATGTATGTATGTATATGTATATTATACTCGTGTGTTTATGTATATTAATTCTATGTCTTATTAGTTATATACCTTCAACTGTCACTTCTCTTTAAGCTTCAAACTTCTTGTCTCTCCAAAACAATATAAAAAATATTGAAAGTTGTAATGTCAAATATAAGGTATTAATGACATACTGAAAGACTGTTTGATAAAAATCTTTTTCTTTCCCCCAACAGTACCATTTTTTCTGTCCTGGTGAAGCAAAATTGCTAAGTATTAACACTACTATGAGAGTGGATGATGGACAAAAGTATACACTGTTCATCCGGTAAGATATACCTCTTTCTTTTGCACTTAATCTCATAAGTAACAAAGAATGCTCTTCTGGATATGGTCCTTGTCATTTTGCAATTGAGGTTATCCTGATTAGTATCCACATGTGTATATGTGAATTAAAGTTGGTCAAGCTTTTCCATACATCCTGAAAATTGCACTGAAGAAAGACTATTATAGGGGTGATACTATCAACAAACTTACACAAGCAGATTTACAAAGAAGCCATGAAAGTCTCATATTATTTTTCACTTACAGGAGTTATAAAAATAAAATAAACTGGTATTTTCTTTTAATAAAAAGTAAAATATGTTCACTGTAGGAAATTTGGAACATCCAGACAAACATAAAGAAGAAAATTAAAATGACCTATTATACCACAAACCAGATAGAATAATTAATGCTTCCAAAAGCTGTGTATGAAGGTGACACTATCCTCAAAGGCTTATTCAACATCAGATAGAAATCATTTTGCCAATGTGATAAGTGAAACTGATACTGACCCTTAATTTTTCTTCTGTGAATTTTTAGTAAAGTTTACTTTTTTATATACATAGATTCATTACCGTTTTATTCCATTTTTCCTCTCTCTACCTTTTTTACTTCTGTAAGTGGTGTTTTAAAACAGGTGCCACAGTCATAAGCCAGTGTCTAGACTAAAATTATTATATTTTGGCAAGAGAGTATTTAGTAAAAATAAGTATATATTTAAATACAATAAAAAGAAAGTAAAGAGGCTTAAAAAGACTGAGAAAGATGTTAAATGAGAGGTTTTCAGGAAGTTCTACCTTCATTAGACCAGAACTACCCAAATTGTATGGTCTAGAATACAGATTCTTTTTTTTCTTTTCTTTTTTTTGAAGCAGGATTTATTGCGAGGATGCAGAAGAGCTCCCACAGTGGGAAGGGACTCGAAGGTGTTGTCCTAGAATACAGATTATTACAGATCAGTGACCAAAAAAAAATGTATTATCAAATACATTGGAAAACCCTACATTATATCTACCTCCCCTGAGTACTCAAAATGCACTTTAAGTGTGTTAAGCTTTCTGAGATGCTATTTAATAAAGTCTCACTTTCTTTGCTTAACTTGTGATGTGGACACAGAACATTTTAATGTCTCTCTTTAGCCTTTTAACCTCCTACTTAACTAATGTGCAGTGCACCTTGGGAAACATCATCCTAGCCAAGGTACCAATTTCCCTGGCCGGGGACTGCCGTCATCTAGATGGAGGAGGTGCATGAGCATTGGGCAGCCATAAGAACCAGCCCCTGAAAAACATACTTGGGCTCTTCAGCAAAGAAAAAAGACAGATAAGCATCATGGGTGAGATGGGGCAGGACACCGGGAGAAGCTGTTCTGGCCTTAGAAATATTGGAAATGAGTTGAAAAATAAATAAATAAGCAATAGTTAGAATTACAGCTTATTAAACACCAATTATACGTCAAGAACTAATTTTATATCATATATGGATTTATTTCTAAGAGCAATTCTAACTATTACCTACATTTTTAAAGATGCAGAATTGGCAGATAGAGTAAGTACAGAAAGTGACATAGCTAGAAAATGGAACAATTCCAAGGCTGCTCTCACTCCAAAACTTATGAGTAAGTTTTAAGTAACGGGTCCTGTGAACTGTGCTAGAGAAATATAATATGATTTGAATTTGTATTTTCTCTCACCCTAAAAGAGCTGCCGCATGTTCAAGATAAGATAAAGATAAGAATTATAGGTGACTTGTCCAGTGAAAATAGCAGCAGAAGCAAGAGTAATGTTAATTAGGACACACTGAACCATTACCAGGTATCAGATGCTTTACAAACACATAACTACATGAAATCATCATAAAAGTCGGAATGCCTATTTTACTGGTTTGCAGGGCTGCCATAACAAAACGTCGCAGACAGAGTGGCTCAAACAACAGAAGTGAATTTTTTCCCAATTCTGCAGGCTAGAAGTCTGAGATTAAAGTGACAGAAGGGCTAGTTTTTTTTATCTCTTTCTTTCTCTCTCTCTCTCTCTCTCTCTGGCTCTCTCTCTCTCTCTCTCTCTCTCTCTCTCTCTC